CCCGAATGCAGATACATCATATATACAGACACCAACTTCGGCGCATTCCAGTTCTGAATGAGTCCATTTTGAAGATAAACAAAACAAATGATGAGATCATTTCATACGCCAAAACCAATAGGTGTTGACGCAAGAGGCATGCGCACGAGCTTCCACACGCACATTGGTACAAGAGCGTCTGCAAACGGTGCGCGTGTTCCAAGCTGAATACACATTATGACAGAGCTTGTGATCCAGTGTAGAACTGTAGACTGATCCAAGGATCGGAGATCTCTTCGCACCAAAGGCCACCAGTGTCAAAGGATGGAGTCCATTAGGATTGTGATGTTATCGCGATGGCCAGTACTTGGGAGCTGAAGGAGACAATGAACATGACGGATAGTATACGGGACTTGGAAAGTTAAATTTGCAACATCGGATTCAATAGAACTGTTAAACGCGAAGATGGAGTCCGAAGAGAGAAAAGAAAGATGTGCCATGTGGTCAACATGTAGTGGAGAACGAACACATTCTTCTCCCCATCTGATCCGAACGTTCGGATCTCGTCTGATAAGCAGGGAGGGAGTCTCTTTAGCCTCCTTCCCGTATGTCCTTGCCTTGAAATCCATTGCCAAATTCTAGGGGAGGAGTTGGAAAGGTTTGGAGTCAAATCGACCTCGTTCGGATCTGTAGTGGGCCTCGGCGATGTTCTGATAGATAAATGCCACGTTTCGTAATCTGACCACAACGGATCTTCAGTTGTTATCAGGGCGACATGGCCGAGTGGTCTAAGGCGCTAGAATCAGGCACCCGTGCTTATCTAGTCATTCGTGGCGCGAGTTCGAATCTCGCTGTCGTCAAGAAATATTTTGTTGATTGAGTGATTGAGTTATTGGAGGGCTGAATTGAGCGATAGTAGCGAGTCATTCATTCTAGATCTCCTGCGAGGCTTCGAGGTTTAATTTTGCCCTGCTGAAACATTTTTTTCTGACCCATACATTCCCTTATAATGATTGGCAACAAATCCATCCCACCTTGAACGCTCCATAGACTCCTCTTCACACTGGCAGGACGTTTTCTTCGGAAGTTATACCATATCGATATCATA